CAATGAAGATAAGGATAACAGTCCAAATAATGTAAATAAGTTAGTTTTGCATACAACTATTACTTACTGGATATCTCCCTTGCCTTGTATCATTGTGTCAGGCTGATCTGAGTAAATATTATAGAAGATCTGCCTTATGGCTGATGGTTTCATTTAGAGGCTGATGAGGCTAGATGAAATACCAAAATGTTGAATGCTAATTTTCAAAATATACATGTTTGGAATATTTGCTGGGCCAATTATCCGCTTTTAATTTGGCCTTGTGGCATACAAAATTAAGTAAATATTAAAAATAGCTTATTTTCTTGAGCATGTCATAAAAGCTTGTTGCAGGTGGTATATTGGTCCACAAACAAGTGGTGACTAAAATACAATCAACAGAACAACAAATGACTACTTAACGTAAAAAAACCCTGTATATCCACTATAGCATCAAACAAGATATCACCAAGATGTTAGTCAATATGTCAAACCTCCTGCTCTACCTACCTACCATATAATAAAGTCAACACTAGAAATTGTTTTATGCAGCTTGAAGTGATATCAATTACCCAGAGAGTAACCTCCCAGAGGTCCAGGTTTGCTAACATGGGTGCAAGCTTTGCCACAAACTGTAGTCAACAAGATAGTGGACATACTTGAAAATGTCCCATAAACAGAGCCATACACACATTTGAAAAGTACAATGATCAAGAGTACTGGACACTTCAACAAAGAGTTATTCCATTAACTTTTTACCCACACAAGTAGAGGTGATAGGACTCTATCCCAGTTACTGTACTTTGAGAAGCCACTTGGGCAGAATCTATTCCCCATGGTCTGTGGATAGACAGACTACCAACAACCATAATACAGATATTTTCACTATGATGATAAATTACATCTGGCAGCCAAGCCTCTGAACAGGAGGTTTTGAGGAGCATGAAACCACCTCTTAATTGCTGGTGTTTCCAGGTCTACCCTGACCCAGGATGGTAGCATCTGTTAGGGTCCCAGTTATGGGCAAATAGTTAAACCCCCAAAATCCTATTTACAAAAACATGTCAATGAAACCTGATCTACAAACCGATTCCTTACAAAGAATACATATTCTATTTATAGGAACCTATCCCAAAAATCTTGCCGGCATTAAATAACCTATTGAGTTTGATATGCTATAAAACAAACCAAACCATATATTTGCATATTTTTGCTGAAGACAAATTGGCTGACATTGGTGACAAGGTTTTTGCCACATTTAACCAGAGAGTGTTAACAGACCTGCAGAAGCAGATACAAAAGATGCAACTTACTCTGAGGAAATCAAGAAACAGATCTCCACATCAAGACAGCTCAAACACAATCAGGAGATACAGATCATATCCAAGCCAAGATACCTAGGATCAAAATGTAGTATCTGTTCCAGCAGAGTCAGATGACCCATGGCTCCATCCAGCTGAAGTTCCAGCAGGCCTCCAGCTCTGGCCAGCCATGTGATAAACTGTCCTTTTCAGGACAATGCTTTTCAACAACTACAAAACTGTCCCATCAGGACAATAATTCTTAATGTGTGCAACCTTATTTTTGTTGATGTACTTTCTTTAACAAAAATAAACTTGGCAATATTTTTTTTTTTTTACTCAAGTTTTTTTTTGTTTGTTTGTTGTTGTCTTCTGTCATTCAATAAGCTTATAGTTACACAAGATGGTATACAGTGACCATAGCTCCTCATTTCATCAGAAAATAATCAGGTTAGATATAATGAGTTATTAAAATGTCCTTTGCACAACCAACAAGAGATTCAAAAATAAATTCTGATATTTGGTCAGATTTTAGGAAGTGTGTTAAGCTGAAGATTTTCTTAGCACCACCACCTTTGGATTAGCTTCAGACTAACCCACATTTTCACCAAGTTTAGTCATTTTATGGAGAGGGAGGTAAAAATAGTATTTTCGCGGTTGTCAAATGGTGTATATAAACTCAAAAAACTAACAATAATGCCTTTGGGTTGGGTCCCTATATGCAAACATCTGGCTTATAGACAAAACAAGTTCTTTGTACAAAAAACCATAAGCCAATAGTTTATTTAAATGTAAATTTATGCAAATAATGAATATAAGCATGCTTTCTTTTTCACCCTCTGACTTTTGTATGTTACTTAAAGATTTAATTTAAGAAAAAAATTAGTTTAAGAATATATTTTTCTATTATAGGAATCCAAGGGTTCAGATAAACAAACTCAGGAAATGTTGGACTTTTATACAATTTCTATTCCATGTTAATGGCAAACAAATTTTTCTGCAGAAAGGACAAAGGAATTGGCAGAGAAATTAATTGTTTTGAAAGAATAAAAAACATTGTAATCATTCAATAATAAGAAAAATCTCTCAAAATGCATTGTTCATTCATAAAAAATGTATATAGACATCAATTTAGAGTTAAACTATATTTTAGAGGAGGAAATAAATCAAAGAGAATTTATTAAATACTAACAGCCAAGAATGCAATATACCAAAAAGTTTTTCTTTGTAAATAGAATTTTTTTAAGAATTCCTATTAGTCTTGCCTTAGTCATCAAGTGTTACTTTGTAGAATTCTAGATATTTTATAAGAACTTATAATTAGATAAATATTTTATGAAAGGAATAAAAATAAGAATGTGTTATGTTAAAACAACATATGCAAAATCGAATTTTCAAAGAAAATCATTAAGGAAAAAAAAAACTTAACATTTTTTTAAAATAAGCATTTTATATCTTAAGACAAAAAACAGGAACACTTTGTGCCTCTGAAAAAGTTTGTTCCTTCCAGTTACAAGCTTACAGCCATATCATTGAAACACCAGTTCTCATATGATCACCTTGAGCCTAGTCTGTGCCCAAGTGCTGTAAACTTGGAAGTGTGGATGGCGTAATGGACAATGGATTGGAATTGGAGAGCCAAGTTCTAATTCTAGTTGGGTTCATCATATTTACTTATGCACAAATACTCTTGGGAAAGATATGTATCCACCTCTTCTCCCTCCAGCTATGGGTTAATTAACCCATAGCTGGCTTTAAATACCCTACAAAAGGTTGATAAAAAAAGAAAAAAAAAAAATCAATCCTTTCAGTTACAAAACTACAGCAAGATTCATTATGATACTAATTGGAATAATTCTAACACAAAGATTTAAAAATTTGATTTTTTTTCCCAACCGTGCAATTACATAAGCTTCCAAAGGTATAAAAATGTCTTGCAAATTCTTGATTTCTGAAACAAAAAGATTATACAATTAATGCAATGATATTTGTTAAATTTAGTCGGATGCAAGGCCAGCCAGACCTGAATATTATCCAATTCTACTATTGAAAGTCTGAAAAGTAAGCATCTTTGCAATTAAGAAAAAGAAAACAAAAACTAATCCATCATAATCTTTTAATAATGGTCTCAAAATATAAGTTAAAGTTTTAGTGATTGTTCATTACATTCTAATAAGTGGTTAAATAATATTTTGGCATTAAAAAAATAATTTCTTTTCAAAATAATCTTCAAAAACTTTTAAAGTTTATTTATCATTTGCTTTCTCAAAGAAATCAAGGAACAAGATTTTTGGTAGAACGTGGATAAAGTTTGAATTTATCCATCAATTCCTTATTTTCTTTGGCAAATTTCAATTCCTCTTCAAGTTCTGCTGATTGCTCAGTGCTCATCCTCAAAACAGGTTTTTTAAGTTTCTTGAAAGAAATTCCACTTGAAGCTTCAGATCTTTGGTCAGCACTGAGAGGCTCAGTAGATAACGAATTTTGCAGATTTTCTCTTCTTTCAACAGACTGATCAGGTTTATAATTTCGTAGATAAAACCTCAAATTCTGAAGAAGATTCCTGAAAATGTTATGTTTAGTTCTTGTGGTATTAAGTCCAGGGTATAAAGTATGATTGAGGATTTTGTTGGTTCCAGATTTTTTATTTCTTAAATCAAGACTAGGGAAGAACATTCTCTCAGCAAAGATATCCTGACCAACACCTGAAACTTTTGTAGCAAGAGAGATTTTCTCAAAAGTATTTGATTTGGTTGAATGGTTATTAGAAGATTGGTCAGTCGACTCAGATAAAGAATCAAGCTTTTTTTCAGTTAGATTTGATTCAAGATGTTCTTTACCAAGACTATTGGAATAGTTTTCAATGACCTCTGTTAAATTCAGCAGGTTCTTTAATTTTAAAAATTCAGATTGTAATTCACTGGCTTTTACAAATACACTAACAAGTTTTGCTGCTAAAAGATTGTCTAAAATATTAGGATTTTGGTACCAATTTTGAAAAGACCTAATTTCCTGTAATGATTTTCCAATTTTGGGTCCAGCTTTTCTATCCACTGTATCATCATTTGCAATAATTTCATCAAGCAAACCAGGAGCAATGGATTTAGATTTTGACTGAAATTCCTCACTCAGTTTTGACTTGTGTTGTTCAAGTTTTTTAATGACTTTTTCTGACAGAGTAAGCATTAAAGACATGTCCTCATTATCAGCCACAGAACGAGGCTTTTCTGCCAATACATTTTTAGTCAAAGTTGATATTAATTTTGATATTGAACTGGAAGAAAACATTTTGACAGATTCCATTTTGAGGTTTTGATCTGAATTCTTAGACCCTGTTAGACTCTCTTTCAAGAAAGAGTTTTCATATTTCTTGATGTTTACATTTCTAGAAAATTCTCTTTTCATCGTGGTATCAACTTCACTTGGATTCATTTTTCTGGATTTTATATTTTTCCACTGCTTCTTCAACTTGTAGCCATGGAGAATCAAAGACCATTTCAGGAGAACTCCATCTTTTTTGTTATTTTTTGTATCATAGATTTCCAATGTCCAGTTACCATAAGGATTTTCCATCCAGTTATGTACTGTCATGAAATAGAAATCAATATCTTTGAGTTGGTCAAATTTTCTGGGAGACAAAAGTTGAGATCTAGTTCCAGCAGGAGAAGTTAGGAATATCTGTATGTCACCTCGAGATGAGTGTTTCAAATTGATGTACACTTGAACATGTTCTAAACGTGTTAAATGAGAGAAGGCTATATTTGAGCAGCTATTACAAAATATCTGGATCTTGACTGGCTTAACATAAGAAACTTGCCTGAAAAAGAAAAAAAATATTTAATAAGTTTTTTTATTTATTAATTGGAATCAAAATCATTTATTAAACCGAATCAATGTCAGATTTTAAAAAATAATTGTGAAGTTTAAATGAGGTTATTTATAAAATTAATTTATCTGGGCTAAAGTTAATAAGGCACATGCTAAAAAGAAAGCAAACAATACATTGCTTCCACTTTTCATTGTATATTCATCATACATACATATACACACACATACATATATATATATATATATATATATATATATATATCTCCCCTTGTACAAGTCTGGGTCAATGAAAAACAATAAAATGTATTAACATCTGTTAATAAAAAAGTTTTCTACAAAACTTTATCAAACAATATTGGACAGTTTTGGAGTTAAGTTGTACATATATGCACTCACAGTGGACCAGATATAATACTTGAATTTCACAAGACAATTTGTTCTTTTACTTTAATTTTAAGAATTGGCACAAATAAATATTTTCCTCTTCATACAAATGACTTAATGTATTTTCTTTTAATCTGCCCTAAATATTTAAAAAAAAAAAAAAAAAAAAAAAAAAATCAAAATACATTAAATTCTAGCAGACAGTCAATGAACAATTAAAAAATTATTTTGGGGTTTAAGCATATGAACAAATTGACTTTCTTAGCATCAGTATCATTGCAGCAGATATCATATTGTCAATATTGTATATTGACAAGGCATAATTTGTTCAATTTTTGTGTGTATATTTTAGAAAGAGATGAAGGTGATATTTGTAAAGAGATTTTCTCTAAAGTATCTTCACATTAACTTAAATTTTCACTCATTGAAGATTTTTGCTGAATTTGAAAATATGAGGCTATTTGAAACATGATAATTTCTTTTTATTGTTTGCTACAAGTCAGAATTATAAACTTGGAGACAAAGAGAGGAGTGTGTACAAAGAGAGAAATAGATACTGGCTCAAAAGTTCTTAACTAATCCTTTTTTAATTAATCCCATTAAAACTCAAAAGCAAAAATGAAAAGCTTGTTTTGTCATGGATGAGCAAGGTAAGTGCTGAGTCCTGGTAGGAGAAGGGGCACTATGGTCTTTTAGCATTTGCCCCAGATAGGGAATGACTTCAATAACCATTGGATACCTGAGAGTTACTCCTATTGTCAAAAGAAAAAAAAAAATTGACTTCCATCAAAATTTTGATTACAATTTCTCAACTAAGATTGACTGAATTTCACATATACTGAAAAGAAAAATTTTTCATTCTTTGTAATCAAATTTTTAAGTATTTTATCCAAATAAATAGCCCAGCTTTCAAACAAGATTCCTATTTACCATTTGGAAGGGCAATAAATAATTAAGGAAAGAAATTAACTGAAAATCTGGAAACACCTGAATGTGCAGGTCACTGCCTTTGATCAGTTGGATAAACTTTGTATAAAAATCATTATCTACTTCAAATAATCACTGATAATTATATTAATCAACTCAAAGACATTTTGTTTATTCATTTTTTTTATCCAAATCAAATCATCTCATTTACTTAAAAAAAAAAAAAAACAAAAAAAAACAGTTTGCTTTCATTAATTTCTAAGTTTTGTTAATGAATATAAAAAACAAGAAATGAGGAAAGAGAAAAAAAAAAGATTACATTTTCATATCTGCACTTGTATAAAAACACTTCCTTTGAGGAGGAACATTCTTCCAATCTTGAGCCATTTCAACCATTCGTCCACAGTCCATGAGGCCAAATCCAAAAGAATGGCTAACATGAAGACCAGCACCATTAAAGAACCAATTGCTATCAGAAGATGGAATACGAGCACTGTGCACTACCAAATGCTGAACATCTCTCCAGGTCAGGTGAGAGCTGCAGAAAAAAAAAACAAAAAAAAAAAAAAACAATTATACCTGATAAAAATTTCATATAATGGCTTGTTAAACAATCTTTATTGAATTTGAATGCTTTTCAGTCAACACTAATCTTTAAGAGTAACGTTAGACAGACACATGCACATACAAGTGTGTGTGTATTTGTACACGTGTTCCAATTAACACAATCTTTGTTTACTGTTCTTATAATTTCAGTTCTTTCACTTTTGTAATCATCTGTTGGTTCCAGTTTTAACTTGTGCATCACAAACATTACAAATATTGATTCCAATTGCAATATTTTTGGCTAAAAATCCTAACAGTGTAGAATAAGGATAACAGTCTAGCTTTATTTTTGAGCACATTCAAATCTGCCAGGTACATTTTTCTATGTGCCATGTCCCTTCAGGACGTGAGCAATCATGGTTCTCCACAATTTCCTATCCCTTGTGTCCTTTAGATAAATTAGATGGCTGAAATTCTGATATATCCTACATGATAAAGTTTGTCAATATATCAAGAGGAGGAATGGAAACAAAGCTCTCTTGTAATTCTTTTTGACACCTTTCTCACTTATGGAACTCTTTTTGCTTTCCTGTCAATTATGATCTTCAAAAATGTAAATGCAATGCATCATCTCTCCTTGAATCCTGTTCTTTTATTTTCCTTTCTACTTAAAGTTTTCTCAGTTTCTTTCAATAATCCCCTTGGATCTTAGGGACTTTATCACTTTGTTCAAGATGAAATGATTCTAAAAAAAGTTCAGTTTATCAAATAGTGGAGCTTGAACCCACACAGTAAAGTCAAACACTAAGAGAACCACTGCTTTTACCATTCACTGGGTTTTGTCTCTTAACCTATTGAGAAGACATCTGTTGATTTATTCTGAAATGATTTACTATTCAGCACTAAACCAAACTATTTTTAAAATTTAGAGAATTCCTGAGACTTTGAACAAATTTAAAATTCTATTTCCTGGCAAAATAAGATTTTGTTTTTTGTTCAGTCGTGAAAACTTGGAGAAATAAATTCTGATAATATGACAAGATTTCTTTCAATCTCAAAGATGTTTTTGCCATTAAATAAAAGTCATCTGATAAAAGATGGATTAAACATTTTGTCACACAATTAACTCATTTCTATCCTATTTATTCACCTACCGTATCTTAAAGTATACAATAAGGTTAAATAAATCTTTAATCTTGGTTGGATTAAGGTAGGTCACACTGTATACAATATAATTTACATCATTCAATAGAATAAAAAGCCTACTGCAAATTCATTAAAACTAGAGTTGAAAAATTAATGACAAAATCTGCAACATTATTTGCTAAATTCTATTTTAAATTTCACTGTAAAATAATTTTTATTAGATATCAAAAAAAAAAAAAAAAAAAAAAAAAAAACAAACCTTTGCTCAAAGTCTGTATTCATAACTTGACCAAATTTAAAAACAAAATGTTGCATAACATAAGATCCACTTGTTCTTTATTAAGCTCAACCTAGTCTGGCACAAGTCCTGGTTAATGAAAGTTCCAATGAGAATTGTATGATCAGATTAATTTGAAAATTTGCAGTAGGAATTAATCGTTTTCAATGCATTTGTGCCACTACCCAAATATTAAATTTCTCTACAGATTAATGTTAAGCTGATAAATGATTATGAACCATAACAAACAGAAAATAAATTAACAAATACTTGACAAATCAAAGATAGAAATTCACAAAAATTAAACATGAGCTAAGGAAACAAAAAAATATTTTAAATATGTATCATAATGAACACACAATAATGTTAGCTAATCATTAACAATTCTCTTTTGTATTTGAAAAGATATTTTGGTGAGTTTGACTCAGTAGTAGGACAGAAAGACTGATAACAAAATTTATAATTTAACATCAGTTTTAAGTTAGTGGTTAACTTCCTCTCCAAGCAGTATTTTAACAATATACAGTTCCATGAAATCTGAGGAAGATATTAAAAGCAAAAAATACTTAAGGATTTCTAAAGACCACCAAATGTTACATACCTCTAACAAAGGCTGGAAAATGTATCAGTCAAAACATTGTTTATTATGTTTAAATAAAAATTACTTTTACAGAAAAGCTAACATTGTAAAAGAAAAGTCTTTAAGAATTATCCCAAAAAGATTATTTTTTTTCTCTTACTTCTAAACATGCAAAATATTTCAGAGGTCTCTAAATTCCAAAGATGCTGGAAAGAGAGAGAGAGAAACATACACAGAGGCACAGAAAGAGCCACACACAAAGAAGCAGACAATGAGCCACACACTAGTAGAGGTAGCAAAATGTGTCAATGCATATAGGTAGGGACAGTTAGACAGGCAGACACATACAGACAGAAAGAGATGACATTGACAAGGAAAAATAAAAGTTTTAATATTCCATCGTCTTTTCCGCTTAGAAAACAAAAAATTCCAGTCTTCATTTTAAATATTAAGGTTGTCTCGTGAAATCAATTTGTATTTTTCTTCAATTCTTGACAGCCTATTTAACACACACACAAACACATGCAGTGTATATCCTCTTGGAAATTTGGACATGCCATTCTGACAGAAATAAATTGCTTATTTTAAGGGACAACCTTTATATTCAGAACAATTTTCACAAACTGTTCTGTTTAACTAATCAGATTTTACTTTTGATAATAAAAAAAAATCTAACAGCCTCCAAATATTGAGCTCTTGGTTTTCAAATGTGATTAATTAAGACTGAATTTTAAAATATTGACAGTTTTTAATAGTGCCTTTTATGGCAAAAAATGTACTTATTTGAAATTCATTAGTCAAAGAGTTCTGTTTTTAGTGTAATATTAATGATATTTGTACCAATTTCTTGTAAAATTAAACAAGTGTCAATAGTTGTATTGCCATCACTGTACAATGCTGATGTGGTAATTATTAGCTCAGAGTTACATAAGATCATAATTTAAAGTTGTTTTACATTAGGAACTGAGTTGACAGATAAAGAGGGAGCTTGTTTAACTGATTCACAATTAAATTTTGCTGTCTAGTTAGGCAACAAATAATTCAAAACAATTCTAACTCATGTTGCCAGCATTCATTAACCATCAGAAACATGCAAAAAAATAGAAAGATCAAATAAGATGGAAATTGGCTTATAAATAAATTATATTTTAAAAAATAGGTCATTTTAAATCATAAATATGCAATTAATAGTTTACTGTTATTTACATTAATGTAAAGTACTTATTTGTTTCCTGGTTTTAAAAACATTTTCCTCCACACAAAAATACCAAGAAATAAAATGAAAATAATTACAAAAAGCTGTCAGATTAGCAGACTTCAACAAATAGTGTTATGAAATTTTGATAGCAAGAATAAATGTTCTCTCAGAGGTTTCCATCATTAAATATAGGCATGAATACTCAACAAATACATAAATAATAATTTGTATCTTATTAACTGCTATTTATATAAAGGAGTCTTCTCCCAACTTAAAATATAAAGAATAACTGGGGAAGAATCCTTGGCCTGTTTTCTGTCAGCCACAATAACATATAAGCTTATTAGTAATTAGGCTTTTCAAATCAGTATAACGTAAATTCTATAAATAGGAAATGATTTGATATTCAGTAAAGTCGGCATTTAAGCGTGTTGCAGGAAAGAAAAAAAAAGAAAGAAGAAAAATGTTATTTTGAATTATTTCAATTGATTATGAATTTAGTGTCGGCGTGAGTTCGAAGAATAATAACTCTGAATATACAAATTCAGAGTTATTGTTCTTGATTTTAATTCTCGGAATGTAATACAAATTCTAGCTAAATTAGTAAGGGTTTGTATGTATTTCCACTTGTTTTTCTTTTGCTGGCTTGGATCTTTGTATTAAATTTTCTTTGATGTCATTTTAGTAATTTTCAATGTCAATAATAGTCTTACAAGGCATCAATTGCATAAAAAGTCTGTAGTCCAGTTTTGTAAGTTTTTTTTAGATTAAGTTCAATCCTCACTAAATGTCTGTTTTACCACCGGGTAGGCAAGTTAGAAAATCTGCATTAATATCTGTGAAGTCATATGCAAATCAGGAAGAGCCACAAATGACAAAATGGACATTTGAATCAGTATTAGCATAGATTTGTTTTTCCTTAATGAATCTTCTGTTTGATAAATTACATTGTCCATCACAAATAGACATCAATTATCAAGAAATGTAAGTATCAGATATTGTTTTAAAAATGTAACCATTGACATTTGAAGTAGAAAATAAAAAAAAAAGATCAATTACATTATTGTGAAAATAATCTTAAAAGTATTATTCAATTACTTGGTTTTTTATGCTGTTCTTTAATTTCAATTGTAAAATGATGATTAGTTGAATAATTGTTATAAACCAAATTGGGTCAAGTATTGTCATTCATCATCCTTATCTTTGATCATTTTCAACCTGTCACACACAAATTCAAGATATCTTCAAAGAATGTATCAGCAGACTAAGACTGAAAGTCATTTGTAGAATTCATCTAATAGAAAACTGTGTTTACTTTGCCTGCAATACTAAAGCAATGCATCCTGAAGCCAGTGGAGCTGCCCCTGATGTACCCTCGAAGTTTTCAATACACTGACCATGAAGTCCTGTGGTTACCTAAAGAAAGAAAAAAAAAAAACTGTTTTATTTTAAAGCCTTTTGAATTTTCAAAACCAATCCCTATAAAACATCTTGGGAACAAATACAAGAAACTACAGAGCATAATTGTATTGAGTAGATGGGAGGGGGGCATTCTTATAAAGTTTACTTGATATTTTCTCTGAAAAAAATCTGTCAAACTTGGCATTTTCTGTCCATCAGCTGCACATTGGTGACAAGAGATTTTTGAAAAGTTAGGATGAATGTTTTTTTTTTGTTTTTTTTTTTTACCTAACTATAATATGTTAACACTTAAAGGAAATGGTTCTTTGAAACAGAAAAACTAAGTAGATGTAAGACACAGAGCAAATATGTTTTGTTGTAAAGGCAGAACTAGGATTAATATTGCACAAAACAAGGTGGGTTTGGCTTGAAAAAGAATTTGTCAATGATTTGAAGCAAGGTTTTTACAAGACCAGATGCTCATTCTGACGCCCAACTCAGATACTCTTAGTAGTCCAAGTACACCAAATGTTTATATTGAGACTGCATATGTAGGAAGGTGATTATTCAAGACCCCATCCTAGCCTAACATTATATATATTACACACACACACACTGACCATCCGCCCTTTGATAATTTTTTTTTTTTTTTTTGTCATCCTGCGGGTGTGACAAGCCACCCTCCTCACCAGCAGAAAAGCTAGTGGGGGATCTGACTTAGATGCCAACTACCCACCCATGCAACAGGTTGCACATGTTACAAGTAGAAGAAAAAAGAAACTGTTTACATGTAAATTCATTTCTAAGGAAATAAAAAGAGTATTTTGTGTTTGTACAGGAGCAGGATTTGTTTATAAACAGAAACATCTATAAATTGGACCACCTAAAATACTTAAATACCACCCCCGCCACACACACACAATGAGTGAGTGAGAGAGAGGCTCAAAGTGTTTTTTTTTTAATATTTCATATCTTGGATTAATACCCAACTCTCCTTGAAGAAAAAAAAAAAGAAAAAAAAAAAAGGCAAATGAAATAATTGTAGAAAAATATTTCTACTTCCTAGGCAAACCAATTTTTTTTTTTTTTTTTATAGAACTATTGTGCCAAACTCACCACTTGTATTTTTCTGTTTTCAGACTTTGATGTTGGTTTTTCTTTCTCGCCCCCGGTTGGAACAACAGCCATGGTTGATGTGCATTGTTCCATAAAATAAGGCATTTTCCCTTGATTGGAAACGGAACCAACCGCCAAAGTTTCTACACTTGAAACATAACCGTCGGCATTACAGTCATCGGAAGTCAAGCCTCCATTTCCAGTAGCCCACACGTAAATTACACCTAAACCATTACGGCCCTTTTAAAATAAAAAAAGTTGTTTTTAAAAAAAAAAAAAAAATCAAATGTTTCAGATAAAGTATTATTGCATACGTTATACGGAGTTATCTCCCTTACATCATAAAACGAACTAAATAGCAAGATGATTATTCTCTGCTTTTTTAAAAAAAAACAAAGAAAAACTAATTAGTAATTCAGATAAAACTGATTGCGATATTGGAAAATACACAAGAGTTGTTATTTGAATTTCCTTAACATCTGAACCCTGTCACTAATCTAACTTCTTTATTATCTCTTTAAAATGATTATGAAATAGACAAAAATATTTACAACAAATGATAAATTTAATACATTATATTTTTTTTAATTTTGGAAACAGATTTTATCAAATATTAATTCCTGTAACACTTAAAAATTTTTTCAAATATTTAGCGAAGTTTTTTTTTTTTAGCCACTGCAACCCCACACACTTTTCAAAATATTGGACAAGATACTTTACCAGAGTAGCATGTCTACTTACATTTTCTGATTCCGAGTATTTGAGGTTCATGAAAAAAAAATAAAAAATTGATTTCTTTTTACTTCACTAAGAAAAAAATATTACTGATTAAAATCTGCTGAGTAGAAGAAGTCAGGATACATTGCAGCAAGAATTTTTCTTAGAAACTCTTGAAGCATGAAAATGTCTGAAATGTTTAAGGAATTTAAATTGCTATAAGCAAAAAGTACAAATTAAAATTTTATGACTCAGAATTAATCTATCCCACCTTCAAAAGATTTAGTAAAAGCAATTTTTTTTAAAAGAATTCCTACTTTTTTCACTCCTGCTTGTAAAGCAGCTTTGGCAAGTGGTTTAGGTCCTTCCATTGTTGCGCCATCATCAATTGGACCCCATGAAGCACTATAAATATTGATATAATTGGGTTTAAAGAGCAGAGCTTTAGATTCCAGTAAGTCTGTGATGGTGCCATCCAACATTCGAACACCTGAAAGTGATGGAAGGTAATAAAGTGAAAAGTCGGGGGTTTGGTGGGGGGGAACTATTGTTATAAAGAAGCCAAGAGATTTAGGTACTTAATCATTTGCTATGGTTAGACATCATGTATGAAGGTGTTTACAAATTAGAATAAATGCCAAACTGCTTGAAGTCTTGTCTGTGCATACACACACACACAATTTGGTGATTTGCAGATTTGGATGCCACTATATTTTCTTTTCCTACCTAAGAAGCTTTTTTATTCCATGGTGCATTCAATGTGTTTATAAATACATCCGTTCTGGATTTTAGAAGGAAAATATCATTTTATTCTGCATAAGAGGTAAAAAAAAATTATAAATAAAGTTATTTGTTAATAATTTATATTTGTCTAACAGTATCTCCTTAAAATTTAAATTAGTTCTAAATTAAGCAATAAAGTCATCTAGATGGATGCAAAAAGTTTCAAAGATTTGTTTTCCCAGATTTACTATGATTTCTCCCCTCCTTTCAGCTTAAATTGTATTTGCCAACTGCAAACAGTTTAAAAATTTCTTTAAACAGCTGGCCAGATAAAACACTATATAGTATAAAGAAGTGATAGTCTGAAGGTGTCGGGTCTTGAGAAGACACAGCATATGGAAAACTTCTGATCCAACATACAACACCATTTGCTTATCATAATTATAACAAGAAAATGGTATTGTCCTGAAGCAAAATCCTTGATCAAACATAACATTTAAGCCTAAATTTGAAATAATTAGGAAAAAAATAATTTACACAATATAGTTCTTCTGAATATTACAGGGTCACTGCTAAGGGGAAAGATGGTACAATGCCCATCATGCTAACGAGATTTTTATGAATGCTTTCAAAAAGATAAGTGCTTCTGAGAAGTCAATTGTGCAGCAGTGAATAATGTATTTTTAGAGCAACAATTTACATTTGTACTTTATAAACTATAAGATCTTCAGCCATCTTGTAAATAAAGATGAAATGTTTCTTTGGGAATTTACAGTTTTACATTTCTTGATTGTTAGAGAAAAAATTTAATTCAGACAGATTTATTTTTTGTCAAGGTCTTGAAGTGGAAATTTTGATAATCAAACTAAAATAAGTCAGACCATAAATTAACATGTAATTCGATAACAAATAAAAAAAGTCATCAGTATTACATTTTTAATTTTCATAGTGAATAGAATCAGAAGAGGAAAATGATAAAGCTTTAGATTTTAAAGAATTTAAACTTTACCTCAATATGGCATTTATAAGTATTTTGAAAAATTAAAATAAATTTTTAATAATTTATATCAGTCTAACAGTATCTCCTTAAAATTTACTGATTCAAGATTAATTTGCAAAAAACATTACAATTTGACAATTACAGTAATCACTTATTGTGTAGCTATCAAGGTGGAGGCATAAAATTTAAATTGGCTCTAAGTTAAGCAATAAAGTCATCTAGTGTAAATTTCCTCTTTACAAAAGTAATTTCATTAGAATAGAAAATTATTGTTTAATACAAGCTTTTCCTATGTCACCTGTACTTATAGTCACAAAAGAAAAACATTAAAACTGAAAAACTGAAACAGACACCAATGTTCTGCTCTGGTGTTTATTAAAATTTGGCAGGTTGGTAATGAACACAAGCAAAAACAAGTTACAGTTTTCCAAACAGACAAAAGAAATTAAAGAAACCTCACACAAAGTATTTGACAAATGTTTCAAAGTCTACAAGAGAAAAACTGATGACTTACCTCCAATTTTGGCTTTATAGGCCACTCCCACACCACACACACTGTTATTGGCTTTGGCCACAACTGCTCCAGCACAACGGGTCCCATGGCTGAAAAGTGATAGATTATAAAAGATCTCATTACTAAAAAGAAAAAAAAGTGATCAGACTGCATGCCAAATAAATATAAAGTTATATATTATGTTATTATATAGTGACTTCAAAATCTTGAAAATATATACCATTATGCAAAATACAACAGGCAGGTATAAGGATTTGATATCTACCAATAAACACCATTCCTCTCCAAGCATAACCAGAAAGGTTACAAAGCAGATTATAATACAGTGTTCTTACTTCCTATTAGTTTACCAACATCAACAATTTTAAGTCCATATTTTTATTATTAGAATTTTAAAAAAGAAAGTTTTAAAATATATTTTCTAATTGCCTTTTAATTATTTTCACCTTTTCTAAACACTCCATTATCCTTACATTAAAAAATAAATGAATGCCCAAAAAAATGCCCTTTATTGCTAGATAAAATAGTTATAAATTGTTAAAATAATGTGCAAATTGTTGATCTTGAAATCTTTTGCCCAAAACAAGAAAAAAAACGTTGCTCCTCTAGAGAAATGAGTCAAATTAAAGAAGCCCTGAAAAAAGAAAAAAATTTGAAAACTTTGAAAAAAATTGATCCTAACTGCTGAGCAGAGGAAATGGTAATGAAAGACTGGATAATAAAACAAGTTGAGAAAGGTTTACTATACCCACCCATTGTTAGGGTTGCTTGTGTCAGGCATTGGATCCTGGTCATTATCATCTCCATTCAAGTCAATACTTGCTGCCACATCCTGAAAGACAATGCATATAGCATCAGTTACAAAAATGATCAGGAGATACTAAAGCAGAAAGAGAAATTAAAGAAAGTTCTGGACCAATTCAAAAGGGCAAAATAAATTTGATTCATTAATACTTGTAATAAGGCATCAACTAATTTAAGACAAAACCTGAGAGTTTTTTGTTTTTTTTTTTAAATCAAATACAGTAAACCTTTAATACAAATCCTAAAGATATATACCATTACCACATATATTGAGCAGATTGCAAATAAAACACTTTAAAATAATCTTTAAGGAGGCAATATAGTCATAGGTTTAAAAAAATAAAATTTTAAAAAAATGTGAGGAAAACTAATGAACAAGATGCATAAAGATCCAAAGACAGGACACTGATATTAGAGAAAGAAAAAAAATACTTCAGAGATGGAACAAATACATTGAAAAAAAATCTTCCACAATGAAAGAAGGCAACTGGCAATACACAAAATGTCAAAGAACAAGAAATATTAAAATCTGAAGTGAAATCAGCACTGGCCAAAATGAACAGGAACAAAACAGCAGGAATTGTAATAGAGATGCTGGCAATCTTAGATGATTTCGGCATTGACAAGATTATGGCCATAATGAATGAAACACAACAGTCATGATATACTGTAAAAACCTAAGTAGATCTATTTTCATAGCACTTACCTAAGAAACTAGGTACAAACGAATACGAATTTCATCAGACAATCAGCCTAATGAGCCACATAGTAAAACTTATCTGATTTATCTGATGAATACAACGCATAGCAGAATTAGACTGGAAAAAGGACAAGAAGAGGGCAGGTTTTTTTAAAGCCACCAAAACAAGAACTGCAATATTTATGATATCAGAAAGAGCAATACAAATGCAAAAGGTTTTTATAGATTATGCAAAAGCATTTGATAAGGTAAAACACAAAGACTTATTTGAACTGCTAGGTAAGCTAGACTTACTTGGGTAAAAGGTATTAGAATAATCCAGAACTTATACTGAAAGCAGACCATCTGCATATGGATAAAAAATGAATTCAGTAATTATAAAAAAATAGAAAGGGGTCATAAGACAAGGATGTATTCTCACTGGACTTATTAAACCTTTCTAGTATAGAGATCCTGAGAGAATTAAAAGTCCTATCAGGATTCATTATTGGCAGCCACAATCTTAACACAAGATATACATATGACACAGTGTTGATAGCAGATGCAAAAAGGAAATTACAAGAACTCCTACAGAAGGTAACAAATGAAAGCAAAAAGAAGGGACTAATTATTTTCAAGATAGACTGTATGGTTCTCAGCAAAAAAGAACAGTCCAACAATCCTCTTACAAAAATCAAGCAAGTACAATTTAAATATCTGGGAAATTTTAACAAAGGACAGAAAGTGCAACACCAAAATCTGAATGTGCATTGGGATAGAAAAAGATGCCTTTCAAAAGCTAAGCAAAGTATTAAGAAACAGGAAAATTTCACTAGAAACAGAAAAGAGTACTGTTATGCAATATCAGTTTTCCTTAATAGCAGTAAATGTTAGACAATCTCATCACAGATAAAAGGACTTGAGGCAACAGAAATGTGCTTCTATAAAAGAATGCTGAAAATGCCATAGACTGAACATGTGAGCAATGATGAACTTTTAGAGAAAATGGAAACAAAAAGGACACTTATCAGAAATTTTTAGGGTACATAATGGGGAAAGAGAGCTTGGAAAATTTTTAACACTCAGGACATATAAAAGGCAAGAAAACAGTACATAACCTACCTAACAAGCTCATGTAAATAATTGACAGAAAAGGGGTTAAGTGAGATAACAAAAAGACAAAATTTACTAAGAACTACAAAAGACAGGAAATTGTGGAAAGCCATAATTGCCAGTGTACTGAAGAAGAACTGATTTTTTTTATCACTGAAAAAAAAAAAAAAAAAAAAAAATTGTAAGAAATTAAGAACAGGTTTCATAACCAATTTGTCTGCCAATTGTGTTTTAGTTTTATAAACAAAATAAAAAAAATCTCAAATTGATAAAGTGAAGAGATGAAACTATTTCAAAACTATTAGCCTTGTGACACAAATAAGCTAAATTTAGTTAATATATACACTCCTCCAAGCCAAACAAGAATTTTCATTTCACAATTTAAATAAACTTTGATATTTCTTTCTGCCATGAGACAGAATTTAGGCTTGACAGATTTTCATAACTTTCAGTTCACCTACATCCAAATCAATTTGCACTCCTGTTAGAGAAACCCCTCCCTGACTGAATGTCTTCAGCAGTGTAGCTGTACTAATCATGCTTGGTGAGTTACAGGTTGGTAAGGCTATTTAACTCATAATTGGAGGTTTTGAATTCAGAGTTGCCCTTTGAGACCTGTTGACAGCCAAGGCTATAGGACCTAGTCTGTTCTATTTACCCATATCTACCTTCCATTAGTATAGCTAATGCCAATCTCCAGGAAAGTGACTCGTTGCACCTTCTTGGACTAATGTTATCAGCTAACTATATTGAATCTGTTGCTAGATCAGCTATCAGGAAGGTTGATTCACTGTGTCATGTTAGTTTTTCTCTTCAGAGCCTATCTTAAATATATAAGTCTACCCATTATTGCTGCTACATATGGCACAGTGCTCCTGCTATCTATCTAGCTCCTTGATAAAATCCAAAGAAGAACCAACAATATTATTGGCCCTGATCTGGCATCTTGGTTTCAGTCACTTTCCCACCACCGTAACTAGTTTTGCCTTTTCTGTAAATATTTTCATAGTAATTATTTGGATGAGCTCTTCACTATGGTGTCTAGATTCATTGAATTTAAGCACAGTATTAAAAAGATGACAAAGTTTCACCAATTTACAGGTGATCTGGCTAGATGTAACCATAAATTCTATGCTAACAGTTTCTTTTCTCACTTCTGGAACTTTTTTTTTGGCTTTATGCTTTCCAATCAAATTTAATCTGCAAAAATTTAAATACAATGTCAATCGCTATCTGCTGTCCTCTTGATTATTCTTCCTCTGTTCTCACTCCTTAGCAATATTCCTGTTTCTAACTCTTCCGCACCCAGTAACTCATTGTGTCTTAGTGGCTTTATTGCCTTGCTTGGGATGAACTCAATTATATAAATAAAATTTTTAAAAAATTTTTTCCAAGGGTATTAGAATGTAAGTGAATGTAACAAAATCAACTGGAATTAGAACTTAGTGCTCCATATTTCTGATCTTATGTCAAACCAAGCTAAACTTATTAAATAAGTAACAAACTTCCATCATAATATCCAATGAAGACAGGTTTCATTAATTTATAGGTTCATCATTATTATAAAGCTACCAAAGTATTTTACTTACAACGTTATGCAATCTGCTGCCAATATTGTATATTCTACCATAAAACAATGACTAGTTTTGATATGATGAATTCTTTGAAAGATTTCTTGATATCATGAATTTGTTGAAATGAGTGACCAGACAAGGAGTATTACACAGAGTGATACAAATGACAGGCCAGTAGATTATGCTGCATATCAAAGAATTTGACATGTTAGCACCAGGATTGTTTGCTACATTGCATGTACAACATAAGATCACACTGTCATGCAGCAAAATAACCATTTTACTTTTGAGGTAAGAAACTCTTCTTGAACTTGTCTTTGATCTAATGATTTTCTTTCGAAATTCTTGTAATAAATCCATTTTTCATTAACTGACTAAAGATTTCTGTATTGAACAAAACCAGAAAGATTTCCTTAACATTGTTCAGTACATCATGCAGGAATGTCTGCATCACCCTAATAACTTGACAGTAATAAGAAAATATTCATAAATCAGGTACTAAAAAAATGGCAGTTTAGCATCATTTTCTTTTTTTTTTTTTAATAATTTTATTTTTCTAGACAGCATTCTCAGTCACATTTGTAATCAATTAATTCATTTTTCAATTATTTTATTAACTTCAGTCAAAAGGAATTTTTTTCTTTTCACTTCATTGTATCATTGTGGCTACCTTAAACAAAAGAGTTTTATTAAAAATAGAAAAACAAATTGCAAAAATTCATTAGAAATGGTAAAGGACAGGCAAAAGAAATTCAACAGAATTGCTTTGAATCAAATTAAGATGCAAACCTAAGAATTCCATTTGACATTTACCCATCTTTAATTCCAGTGCATTTCAACTTATTTAGACTTGCACAGAAATCCTCACTGACCATTCCTTAATTCAAATTTAAAATTTCAAGAAAGAACTTTATTTTTTGATTCAATACCCAATACAAAATCTACAAATTTTACAAATGCCAGAATTAATCAAGAGAAAAATTTAAATCTTAAGTTTCTATTACTTTTTGACCATCATCAAGGATTGAACCAGAAACTTTACATTTCTTCTAACTGAATATGCTAACCCTTAAACATATCTTGCAATAAGCACTTTTTTTTTTCTTTTTTTTTACACTTTTAAGAGAAGTTATATAAATATAAATCTCAGTATAAGGTAAAAGATTTCAAATTTGCTGATGGTGCTCTTGGGGTTAACAGAGCTGAAAGTTGGTAGAGGGCCAAAAAAAGTTTTGAAGAAAACAGAAAATATTTAAAGACAACAAATTAAGGCATGATGAAGATGAAATAGTAGAGAGAAAAAAAAATCTGGAATGCAATAAGACCAAACAAACTGGCAAGCAAAGATAAAGTAAAAATTCTCATTGGTTGTTATCGGGTTAGAATTTATGCCAAGGAAGTGTTTACCATTACTACCCACTCTTCGTTTAGTATTAGCCTCAACATAGAGGCAGTCTGGAATGTCTACGGTTCAAGACATCTTATTCGATAAAGAGCAGTGGCAGAGAAAAATCACAGTAAACAATTTGTCAGCCAACACACACACTTCTGGCAAAGGAATTTTTGTATTATTTTTTAACGACAATTTGTTATCAAACATCAAAGTATGTCTCCCCAAACAATTCCTAAGAAGCAAAAAACAGGTACCATTTGTCAGCTATT